GGGCGCCGCCAGCTTTGAGGGCGGGGCATCCAATTAGCATATTCCCTCCTTATGGGCTGTGCGTGCCGCCATATTTGAGGGTGGGCAGTCAATTAGCATATTCCTTCCTTATTGGCTGTGGGTGTCACCATCTTTGCAACGATGTGAGGGTCAATTAGCATATTCCCTCTTTATTAGATAGGATAAGATTCCTCACTCACAGCTATATACAGTGTTATAGTCTAAAGTCATCAAGTGCTCATCATAGGCCACTGAGAATAAGATAGTCATCAATAGAAATAGGATTATTTTAAACATGAAAAACCAAATCAATGATTTGGATATGCAAAGTAGTTCATAAGTTCCTAACTCTTGCCTCAAAACACTCTAGCCAAACACTGCCCCCAAAAAAGAGTAAGGTAGGCTTGAATGTACATAATAAAAGTGCCTGCTATCTACTTCGGACAATGATGCAAGGGGCATAATGACCTAAGAGACAATGCATGCCACAGAAACTATTAAAATTTCTCAAAACTGAGAGAAAATATTTGCATCAAAATTTTATCTAGCTTGTCACTCTTTTGTATTTACAAGAGAGTTTTTAAAGATAAAGTTAAGAGGCTGCAGGAAAGACACAATGTCTATGTGTATTTCCACCACAAATTTAATATATCTATGACAAATATACCTTTGGATACCATAAAAATGTCGACTAAGATTTTCTGCAAAGACAATATCTGCATTTTGAATCGTAGGCTCCATTGATGGTCCAGAACACTGAAAAGACATAATTTTGTGATTGGAGTTGAAAACCTTTTTAAATATAACAAACATCTAAGCAGACTTAAAAGAAAGAAATCAAGCTAATGTTCTCCATGCCTGGAGGATGACTCATAATAAGCTGGCAGCTCCCAGAGAAGTTCAACTCTATTGAGTGGCCACCAAGCAAATATATTAAAAATGGTTTATTGATATTACATTATAATACATGAATAAAATAACACTATCTATGTTTCCAAATCTGAGGCATTCGGCAGAAAGTAAGCTCCATGAGGCTTGGGACCTTGTCTCTCGTGTTGCCAGGGCTTGGCATAAAGTTGATACTAAAAAAAAACATGTTGAATGAATAAATGAATGATTTATTTTCTTATTATTGTCAAATATAAGTGATTTATTAAATGGTATCATATTATTCGCAATTAGTTGATGCCTTTTTCCAAGAGAGCAGCTCACCCATTGATGGGGCTGCAACTTCTATTTTATACTGAAAAAATATTGGCATAATAAGATGCACTTTAAGACTTCATATTAGTATGTCTTAAAACAATAATCTCTGTATATATACCGCAGAGCTATAATAAAGTGATCATTGCCACCGAAAAAGTCTAAATACAACAGTCTCTATTACTCCACTTTTTAGTCAAATAATTTTTAGTCAAATCTTCTTACCCAGGCAGAAAACAATAAAGAACACAATGAAAGTTCATGTTTGCTACCTCTGTAGCCCACTGGAAATTTTAAAAATCCAAGGGGCGGGGGGCGTCTCAGTTAAATATATTTATTTGCTGAATATTTGAGGTTGTATGACTGAATCTCTTAGGCTAAACCTGATAAAAACAGCAACACCACCAACAAAACCCACTAAGTAGACATTCGATCAATTATTTCATTTACATGATAAAAGGTTAGTATAGTCATGGTTGATAGATTCATAATTCTATATTTAAAAATATCATTGGTGGGGGGGCATCCTTCACATTTTAATATTAACACAAGGCAGAATAATCATTTGTTTTAATGACAGTCAAACACATGGTTAAGAGGAGCAGTTTTGAAAACTGGAGAAAAGTCTGTGTTGAAATTCCAAGTCTACTTACTAACTGTGAGTCATGGACCGAGTTACTTAAGCTTTCTGAGCCTCAGTTTCATCATATGTATAGTGGATTTCTAATACGTATCTCACAGAGTGTAAAGATTAAATGTGTTAATAATTGTAAAACATCAAATATATCCTGGACATTTTAGCATTCAATAAATGGTATAAACTATTATTCTTAGTGTATTAATAGGGTCTTTTGTGCCCTGTCAGAAACAGAATACAGAACCATATTTAAAATAATGGTTCTTATATTTTATATCAGTGCCAATACAAATACATTCTCTTACATCCAAAAATTTAGAAAGAATTTATTTTAGCAGTCGAACTTTATTCATTAAGTTAATAACTTCAATTGTAATAAATGGGAAAACACATTTTCCTTCTATTTAAAAAATTATATACTTAAAATGATTATTTTCTTGAAAGTAAAAACTTACCATGACAACACCACCAACATATTCAAAAGCACAATGTGCTATACAGCCATACTGAATAGTATAGCCAACAAGTCGAAAGGTTTTCCCCAGAACACCACGAAGCATAGTTCTATGTAGACTCTGTCACCATTGGCCTGATGGTAAATTTCAAAAAGTTTCATGAATAATACTATTTTAAAACATTTAAAAAATAGTTCTATTGTAAAATATTTTATAATCACCTAGAATGTACTAAATGAACAATTTGGTCCAGAAAAGCAACACCTTATTTTCATTTCTGCTAAAAATATTTTTAAATGACAAATTATAGACACTTAGTAGTTTGATCTACTGAACAGATAGTTTATTCAAATACCACTGGGTTTATATATGAAGTAGAGGCCCGATGCACAAAATGTGTGCAAGAGTAGGCCTTCCTTTCCCCGGCTGCTGGCACCGGCTTCCCACCGGTACCTGGGACCCAGGCTTCCCTCGCAGCGAGAGGCCCCGCCCACCCACCGCAGCCCACTGACGAGTGGCCTGGGCCTCCCTCTTCAGGGCGATCATGGGGCGATGGCTGGACCCCCGACCAATCACATCACCCCTGCCTTGGCTAGCTTGGCACCAGTGGGTGTCATAGTGTGGTCCCGGATGGTCGTCCAGATGGTTGTTCCGCTGTTTAGCCATTCGGTCGATTTGCATATTATGCTTTTATTATATAGGATTAGATAACTAGTAGACTCAACTTGTCTGTCCCCTTTCATATCCTGGTTATTTCTTGGTATTGAGGCAGACAACTACAGAAAGATATTAACTCTTGCAAAGTACTAGTAATAGTTTTTCATAATTGTCCCCTGCTATCCTACATCAGTTCTTGTCATCCTATATAAGAAAAGCCTAATATGCTAAGTGTCCGGTCGTCCGTCATCTGTTCAATCAAAGTGTAATATGCTAATGATATGCTAAGGCTGCTCAACCGCTTGCTATGACGTACACTGACCACCAGGGGGCAGTCTACCAGTCGCTATGATGTGCACTGACCACCAGGGGCCAGACGCTCTGACTGGTAGGTTAGCTTGCTGCTGGGGTCTGGCTGATTGGAATGGGCCGGACACACCCTGGAGTCCTCCCATGGTCCCTCCCCAGCTGGCCAACCTCCTGTGTCCCTCCTGGCACAATTGTGCACCAGTGGGGTCCCTTGGCCTGGCCTGTGTCCTCTTGCAATCCGGGACCCCTCTGGGGATGTCGAACAGCTAGTTTCAGCCTGATCCCACTCAATGTAGGAGCTGCCCCCTGGTGGTCAGTGTGCTCCCACAGGGGGAGCATCACTCAGCCAGATGCCAGGCTCATGGCTGGAGAGCGCAGCAGAGGTGGCGGAGCCTCTCCTGCCTCCATGGCAGTTGGACATCCCCCCAAGGCTCCTAGACTGCAAGAGGGTGCAGGCCAGGCTGAGGGACCCCCCCCCCCAGTGCAAGAATTTTATGCACTGGGCCTCTAGTGATATAATAAAAGAAAGCACTAGAATAGATACATGGAAATTCTAGCATTAAATTGGTCCTTTTATTAACTGTGTGATTGTCAACGAATTACTTAATCTCTCTGGGCCTCCGAAAATGGAACTATCTCACAGAATGGATCTGAGGATCACATTCGATAATGTGAAAGTGCTTTGGAAATTATAAAGTTACATTCAGTTGTCAGATTAACTATTGATATTAATGAACACATGAATACAGTAAAACAGCATAAAGAACCATATCAAATATTTTAAAAGCTATATAAAATTAAAACATTAATAACATTCATCTAAAGTGTTCCTAGTATCTATTATCTCCTTTCTATTTACCTGTTTCAAGTATTTCTCAAATAATGGTTTATGCCTAGGCTACTATGTATTGCTCTCAGATTAAAACTACTAAAACACAATAATATTAATAATAATAATTAACATTTGCTCAATACTTACTGTCAAGCTTTACAAATTAACCTCTGTAAGGTAGATATTATTACCATCCTCATTTTATAGATAAGAAAAATGAGCCTACCAGTAGTAAACTTACATGATGAACATCTCAAAATTGGAAAATGGAGTCAAGAACTTAATCACTCTTACACGGACTCCCAAATTACTCTCTTGCTCCCATAACCGCAATAGCTCTATTATATTACCTAAGCCTCATTTCAGGATCCTTGATAGTAGGTTTGTTGTTGGTTGTATATTTCAGATAGTACAAATGAGTAAATATCAGGACTCTCAATGTCAGAGAAAGAAGCTATAAATATAGAATGCGAGGTTAGGGATGAGTAGAAGGTATCAAAATAAATTTAATTAAATAAATAGAAATGTTTGTGTTTGTCTGCCCTTCTGCCTATATAAAGTACCATCCTAGCCCTTCCACTAAAAGAAGCAAGGACCCTGCAGTAGTAATGGGCACACTTAGCAGGCAGATGTTTGGTTTCCAAATATAATTTCCCACTAGGAGCAATAGCGTAGGGCAGAAAGCAAGTCAGTGCTCAAAAACTAATGGAGACATCCAGAATATGTAGAGAATTTATCAAATTACTAAGAAAAAGACAACCTAACAAAATTAAGAAGAAGAAAAGAGCCATGAAGATTTCACAAAGGAAGATATCCAAATGGCTGATGAGAATATGAGAAACATGGGAAAGAGAGAGGTTGGACTGATGTTAAAACTAAAAAAGCCCTGGCTGGGTGGATCAGTTGGTTGGAGCATTGTCCCTACACCAAAAGGTTACGGGTTCCATATCCTGTCAGGCACACACCTGGGTTGCGGGTTGAATCCCTGGTCAGGGCGCATATGGGAGGCGGCAGATCTATGTTCAATGTTGATGTCTATGTCTATGTCTCTCTGTCTCTCTCTCCAAATTCAATAAAAAACATATCCTCAGGTGAGAATTACAAAAAAACAAACACAACAACAACAAAAAACAACTAACTAAAAAGATGGAGTTGAGTGAACTCTAGAAGCTGAACTCTAGGCATTCCTCCATCCCTGTAAGTTTCTAGAATAGGGGTATAAGCCTAAGAGCTTGATTTAGATCTATCCATTTTTTGAGATTGGTGAAGTGATTTCAGAATACGCTAAGCCCCAAGGAAAACATCCACCTGGTAGTTCAGGTCTGGAATTCCTTTTAAAAGAAGAGAAAGCATTTTGTTTCAGAAATAGGAAAAAAAAAAAGGCAAAGTGTCAATGTTAATTGAGACTATCAGTTTACAGAAATGCATTCATTTTAAATTATAAGCAGCCAAAGTGATTAATATCATAATTTTTTGTTTTAATAAAAGGAACAGTTAATAAATATATTAACACTTACAAAATGTTCACATTAGGAAAAGGTGAGAAGAGAAGAAGATGTGAAGCAGAAAACAAATCCCAACATCAGTTTAGCTACATTAATACCTTCATTTGGACAAGAAAAAGCAGACTTATGACATTCCTGAGACTTCTATGATTTTATCAAATTCAAGAAAACCTACACAAAATACATTTTCCCAGATAATGATATATATAAAGTAACTGAAAGATATATGTCCATTTCAGACACTGAGTGGAAGTTATTGTGACTAGGAGAGAACAACAAAGACTCATTAAGACATGGATGCTGAGTGATGTACTCTGCTCAATAGCTAAATAATTCACTCACACAGCAGCCTCTCTATCAAAGTAATTCAAATCCCTGCCATTTCAAAATCACCTTCAAGGCTGCTCATGAATTGTTCAAATCTATAATGTTAAATCTACTATAAGACTTGTGCAAAGGGTATTTTTTTTTTCTAGAACAGTAAATTCAAGGACCTCTGATCCCCATAATCTATGAAGATTTTTCTTAAACCTATTTATTTTGATTCATTGCCAGAGGAAATAATTGCCATTCCTTTAAGGTTTAGAGCAGTAAATACTGTTTTAAATCTGACTGCAGCATCACAATAACCTGAGAACTAAATTCAAAATCAAAATTCCTAGGCATCCATCACAGAGCTCAAGAATGACAATCTGTGGGAGCAAGGCTGCAGAATCTGTGGTTTTAATAAGTTCCCAGAAAGGAAGGCCAGAAAAAGACTGTGCTGTCAGCCCTAACCGGTTTGGCTCAGTGGATAGAGCGTCGGCCTGCGGACTCAAGGGTCCCAGGTTCGATTCCGGTCAAGGGCATGTACCTTGGTTGCGGGCACATCCCCAGTAGGGAGTGTGCAGGAGGCAGCTGATCGATGTTTCTAACTCTCTATCCCTCTCCCTTCCTCTCTGTAAAAAATCAATAAAATATATTAAAAAAAAAAAAAAAGATTGTGCTGTCATTTGAGGCCAATGAGACATAGTAAATACTTTCAGAAACTTGACAAAATTTAACCATGATTATAAACTGAATGTTAATGTTGAGATAATTTTATAAATTTTTATCAAATAAACTTTATGCTAATATTTCAGTGATTTTTAAAAATCCAATGTTATCTTCTGAAGTTTTTTATATATATACACATATAATCAAAATGAAAACTCATTTTATGTTTATAAAGCATAAACAGTTGACACTTTTAAAAATATATATTTTATTGATTTTTTTATAGAGAGGAAAGGAGAGGGATAGAGAGTTAGAAACATCAATGAGAGAAACATTTTTTTTCCTTTGACCAGAATCGAACCTGGGACCCTTTAATCCACAGGCCGAAGCTCTATCCACTGAGCCAAACCGGGCAACAGTTGACACTTATAATATAATCAAGTACCAGCTTCCAAGCAGTGAAATACCGAAACCTATATATATATAGGCTATATAATCCATGTATCTCAGGACAATATACAAGTTGTACAAGCAATAGTTGAAGGCAATGCATTCAAATGGAACAAATACCATTCAGCATTATCACTGACTGGCTGTAGCTGTGCCAGTCTACAGTTCATGCATGGCCCTTTGGTATGATGCTAAGCCTCATAAAACAGTTTATCATCCCTTAAATAATTAAAAATTCCCATGATTCATATCCTCTTTTGTTGTACCTTATTTATTCCTTTTTAAAAAACGTTTTCTTCTAATTTCTCTCACCCTGTATCTCTTTCTCTTGTCTCCAAAAATACCTCCCTTAACTCTTACTGACATAATTATGAGTTACTTATTAAGTTAGTAGTAGCTTTTAAAGATAAGCCAAATTTCTTACAGGTTGTCAATAAGGTATTAAATTCAAGTAACCTATATCTGAAAAGAATGTATATCATTGAGAAGGCCTTATATGTTAATAGTGAATTTAATTAAGATGAGTTTATTTGACCATCTCTAATCAAATAAGAATAATGTCCAGGATAGAGAAAGAAAAAATAGTAATTTTCAAGAGCCAATCAGTAACCAAGTAAATAAAAAGCAGAAAAGTAACCATGTTTAATAAAAGCTTTGAGACAAATTTTATTTGAAAGGAAAAGCTACTTTTAAAAAATAATTATCTAATACTATTAACTACTCTAGAAAGTTATCCTGAGAAAATACACTACCTGGAAAAATAATTTTAAATTACATATAAATCAAATATTTTATATTTAAAATAAAATTAATTATATTATGAGGATAAAAGAAATATTTTAGACCACTTATTTCATAGATAGATCTTTTCATTATGATAATAGAATTTTAAATAGGCAGGTTTTCCAGTAGCAAAAATAGAAATAGAAGACTAAAAAAGTCCTTTATAAACTAGCATAATGCAGTTCAGTAAAAATATTAAGCTTTCTCATTCATTAATTTTAAATGTGACAACAAATGAAGAAACACATTTTCGAATACAATAGCTTAGATTCGGTTAAAACAAAATCCATGAAGAATGACAAGTTTGCTAGGTAGGTTTGACCAAAGATCTCTACATAAATTTATTATATTGCATTTATTGATTTTTCCAAGAAAGAAAATATGTAGAATAAAATGTATTATATGTAAACAGAGGCTATAAATAAATCAATATATCATTCATAATGGATAATTATATTTTAGTTATTATAATTTCAAAAGATATTTTAGTCACCTATATTTAGGTAAGATTTTAGAGCCTAAAAACATGATTAAGGTTTTCTAATCTAGTTCTTAAAAGACAAAGCTACTAAATAAAAAACAATAAGATAAAAATCAAGTTCTATGAATATTTTAAAAGTAAGTACTCTAGGATCATAACACTGACAACACTAATTATCTTTTCTAGTCTTGGCAGTTATGTTGTATACTGTTTGGATGACTGATGGGATAATTTCACTTCATTTTGTCTCAGTTTATTCTGGACCATGTAAGAGAAGAATATTAAAATAACACCTCTAAACAAAGTACTTGATAAAGTTTTAGTTGAAATAAAATGCTTAAAAAATAAACCTCAATTAATGAATACATGATTCCAGAGCAAATAACTGAATCCCCATCTGCTTAAGGGAAAGTTTGACTAAGAATTTCTGATGTTAGAAAAATAAGTCTATTTAGTACTAATATTAGTTATTTTAGGACTTATAAATATTAAGAGCATATATATACTTTCAGAAAGAGCCCTTTCATCAGCTAGCATTACTGTAACTATAAAAAAATGTGTCTATATATTTTTATATCATTAAATGTTTTATTTACTAAAATCATTTAATCAGCAGGAAAAAAAGCAGTTAAAATGTATGAAAAAACACATTATTCCGATTCCTTACACCTATACACATTTTACTTAATTTATTGATAATGGCTTTATACCCAAGAGAACACTGAAGTATTTAATTTAATATTTAATCTCAAATAAATCTTCACCAATAGCAATTATACTATATCACTCAACTGGAAAAGGTATAAAAGACATTATTAATCATCATTTCTACTTGAATATTTAAATAAATTTTAACTCATACATAGTTTATAGTTTACATATGTCTTACATAATTTATAAGTCAAATAGCTAAAGCTCCATATTTTAAATAATTAATAGAAAGCATATTCTTTGCCTTGATCACCTGATTTTTTGTTGTTGTTTATAAAATTAATCACAGTTAGCAGGATAGAAATCGCTTTCAGCTTCATGAATGACATCCAAGAGATGGGAAAGGATTAGTTCTCAGTTGCTGCCAGTTATAGCGCCAGGTGGCTTTTTCTGCAGTGAAGGTGTTACCGATAATCCCATTACACTGGTACTAAATCTTGCAGACATCAAAATTATCACCAAGGTTCCTTTTCATCCCATCCTTTCCAAATGACTGGAAGTCGCTTCACCTGAAAGAAGTCAAATCCACATGCAGCTGCTGTTTTAGCAGGCAGCAAACTCCCTGAGAATGCCAGTCATGATTCAATTTTGCTGTGCTGGTGGCCCCCTATTCCCTGTCCAATAATACATCTGTTAAAAAATCGTACAGCTACAAATCAAGTTTAATCCTACCGGGGACCTCATGTTGGTCTTGTCTTCTAAAAAGGCAGCAGGTTCTGCTGTCTATCTTGGCCAGCGTCTGGGGAATACTCTTTAAATCCCAGCCCTACTTAGAAGAATAAGCTAAGGATCACAACACATGACCTCAAAAACCCTGATATGACTATATCCTGACCCAGAGGCATTCATTCTAGGTGAAGATTAGAACTTTGCATAATAAGATTACACAGCAAGTGAATGATATCAAGGGACTATCCATATGCAGCCGCCTGGTTTTCTATAGACAGCCTGTGCTCTGCAATATGCAGTACAGACGAAAAGGAGCTTGGTCTTTCTAGCTGAAATAAAATAGATTCACATAAATTAGTTGGCCGTTTCCAGATTCCTAAATCCCCCATTACATCTTTTATTGACAGCTCCTGTGAGGATAGCACAAATGTTATTCCTTTTTATTCTGTGCTCCTATAACAATCATGATCTGTAATTGAAATGTACATAGATTATGGCTTGAAATTAACATCTTGTTTGCTGTAATCTTGGATTACAATTCACTGTGTACATAATAAAATTAGGAAATCAATGGATGGATTTATCAGCTCCAAAAAACTAGAGGTATTGTTTAAAGAATAGCTTAACATTTTGCGCCAACACTTTAAATGTAGAAGTCACAGAAAGATGTCAATAAAAATTTGAGTGAAAAAATACAAACATCAGCCAATATCTATGTAAGCTAGATTACATATGAATTAGCTCAATTCCCTCAAAATTCAGAAAATATGAAAGATTCAGAGATCTCATGAACATATCATTTTCTCTCTAAACCATACTTGAGCAAGGTCAATTACACATAAGGTCTCTACTTTTATAAAGTACAGAAGCAGTATTTTATACTAAGCACCTTGATCATTTTGTATTTTAAGATATTTGAATCCATTCAAACCAATTACAATTCAAGGTTTTAGAGTTCTTAACAATATGTTTTTAAAGTATTTAATGAAATAACTTCTTATGTTGGAATATATACAGAGCATTTTAACTGTATAGAATCCTAGAGATGTTTAGAAAACAATACGTTATGTTAAGCTTTTTTCTTCTAGAAGTTTAAAGCTATACCAGCTCTAAGCAAGTTTATATGAAAAGAAAGATTCCTATCATTCATGCAAACACCTATTCATGCAAACACAGAAAAATTATAAGCATGCGAAGAGGAATTCTCAACTTTATATTTTAAAAAAACTATTGAGATTTGCCATGGGATTCATGTAAAACTAATCTCCTTGGTATACTTGAACTATGGCTTGTTTGACAAGTTCTATTTGCCCACAATTGCTGAGGAACATACCACATACCTTATATTAGTCATTTTCTCCTTATAATCACAGTATCTTTAAGCATATCTATACAATATCTGTTAAGTACTCAGGAGTCAGGTGTTATAATTCTGATTTTGTGTATTAAACAGGCATGTATAACCCAACAATATTGTGTAACTTCAACTACATACATAGCACATGTATACTCTTTGATTGCCTTGATTAGGATATTATTAAAAAAATAATGAGGAATGCAAAAAATACATTTCTGTTATGATATTTACATGTAATACTTTAGAGCTATACTGTTTAATAAAGTAGCCACTAGCTACATATGGCTATTGAACACTTGAAATGTGACTACTCCAAACTGAGAGGTATTGTAAGAATAAAATATTCTTACACAGGACTTTGAAGACTTAGTACAAAAAAAGTAAAATATTTTATATATTAATTACATGTTGAAAAGATAGTAATTTAGATACAGCAGGTTAAATAAAATACATATATAACTCATATTTCTATTGGACAGCACTGTTTTAGCAGATTACATATTTTTAATAATATATTCTTAAACTAATTAAAATTGTACAACTAATAAAAATACTAAAGCAGAGGGTTATTATGGAAGAACAAACATTACATTCTAGTGTTAAATCTGGTAGATAAGCTTAGTAAAGAAAGAAGAAAATGCAGTCATTTTAGAATCTATTTCATATCTCTAGCTTAAGGGTAGTGAGGAAGGAAGGACTAGCCAAATTACTGACCATTGTGAAACAAAAAAGAATAATGTGTTATAGTTAGAAAAATGTTTTAGTCCAGTAAGCATAGGCTTTTAGAAAAAGTACATCTTGAGCAACTTCATAAAAGACTACTAAGGTCTGTGTGTACCACTCACTGAGTCCAATAGACAGCAACTTCAAATAACATGTCTGCATCTACCAAGTGCCATGATTTTTTTCCTAAGGTGCTATATAATTATTTATATTCAAATTTTTCAAATACATCATAATAACTACATAGATTTGAAGCATTTAGTATATTTCAGAATTTTAGAAAAATGAAAAAGTTCAATTTTATAAATTATTAGAAGGCTGCTTTTCCATTAGTCATTTCATTATCCATCAATGTAGGTTTATAAAATTTCATTAATAAAAATAGTTTTACAGAAACAAGGAAAACTGTAAATAGTTAAAATATAAAATGTATGCCTAATTTAAGTAAAGAAAGTTAATGGTAGATTTAGAATAACCAAAGAAAATTGATATTATACAATTAAAATACAAAGTCTATCTATGTCACACATTGGGAATTTCTATAAAGAGTAGTACATAAAGTATTAACTCATTTAAAAGTTACTTTTTCATAATTATTCCTGAATAATATAATATTTATCTAAAATACTAAGACTGAAGATGATACATGAGTATCAATAAATAAGATGGATAACATCGAAATCAGTTCTTTATAACCTAGCCATGCCACTTTTTCCTACCTTTTTAAAATTATGTATTTCTTTCCTTTCCTGGTTACAAGTATCACATATACACACAGACACAGACAAACACACACATATAAAAACAAAGTAATAACAATAAAAAACTTTCTAAACATCAGTATATGAGAGCAATGATATTCCGTCTAAGTTAATCCCCAGACATCCAAATTCATGAATAAAAATTCATCAGTTTTAAATACACTGAGCCTATTAAGCAAGAACAAAAGCATATGCACAAAAGAGCTTTTAATATATTTCAAAGCCCACAAGAGCCATGGTCTCATTAAAATTATAAATTACACAAACATGGAATGAAGATTCAAACTGCAGTGCAGCTAAGCAGATTACAGAAAACCCCGCGTTCCATATGATAACACACCATGGCCCTCCCAGATGGGGGCTTGGAACAAAAAGGCCATCACCACAGCTAGGGAAAACCTCCTTGTGATCTCTGGTTTCTGTTCAGCAGATGACAGCCAAATAATATGTTGATTATTCTGTTTGTGCTGCTAAGCTTGTAAGATGGAATAAAAGCGATATGATCTATTGTGAACCCAATGCTAATGTGTTGCTCCACTCATAAATAATATACTGAATTTATTTTGAAACTACCTTTTATCTGTATTTCAGTTTTTAAATGCATGAATTAAAATAAAAGCCAAGATAAAATATTATTTAATTTGATGCTTTAAACTAAGAAATGTAGATGACAAGTGAAAAATATCTAAGTGCTTAGTTAAGAGCCTTTCTATAATTTCACCACTGTCATCACAGACAAAATACATTTTTAAATAGGCAACTTCTCTCATTAAGAAATATAAATGTAGACTTAAGTAATACAGTAAGTTAATAATATACATTATTGACAAAATAAAAACTAAAATACTAGAGTATATAAAAATACTTTTCTGCAATACAAATAATGGCACATAATCAGAACATATGTCTCATATACTTCTGAATAATAAAAAGTATCACTGAAAGCCTTGTGAATGTTCATAACTTATACACAAATGAATGCTCACCTACCTACAATAAAAATAATTAAAAAGAAGCTTATAAAATAATTCTCAAATTAACAGCCAGCATTTCATATTGCTTTGATGACAAAAACTAAAACCTAATTTTTCCCTCGCTGAAATATCCCAAACTTTAACAGAATGAACTATACTTAAATGAGGTAACTGGCATTGTGTCTGTAAATACTTCACCAAACTTTATATTTCATGGATAAAAATTTTTATGATTACTAGCACTATTTAAAATATTGAAAATCATAACATTTATTTTCCCACCCCAGAAATCCTTCCCTGAATAATCTTGTAGAATTAGCTTACAGGCAAGCAACATAAATAAAGAAGTACATTAAAGTTACAGTTGAGGCAAACATAGATAAACATACTGTTTTCTTAAGGGAGTATTTAGTAAAAAAGCACATAAGTATGGCCATTAACATAAATCCACCTCCCTTTTCTGTTTAGAGGTATAGATTTTTGAGTCTAAAAACCAGAGCAAAATTGCCTAACATGAAAAATACAATCTAAAATTATGGGTATAAAATGTAAAACAATAATACTTTTAGAGAAAAACAGAATACAGACCATCTTTGGAATAGAGAAATATTTCTTAAAGAAGATGTAAAGAGCACTAAACATAAATGACAAACTAGACGACTTTAAAGTCATAATCATTTGTTCATCAAAAGCACTATTAATAAATTAAGAGGGCAAACCTCAGAGCAGGAGAAATGTTTGCAATACCTATATTAGATGAAGGACTCATATTCCAAATATATAAAAAACATCTACAAGTCACAGAAAAAGACAGCCAAACAGAAACGTGGGCAAGAGAAATGAATAGTTACTTCACAAAAGAGAATAATGAAATAGGCAATATACATCGAATGAAAAGGTGCTTAACTTCATTAATCATCAGGGAACTAAAGAATAAAATGATAATGATTTACTATTTATACACACCAGAATCTGAAAAATATAAAGAGGTGGATAAAAGAATCGAGTGTTGGCAAAGACGTGGAGCAACTAGAGCTCTCATATAAATGTAAACTAGTACCATTTTAGAAAACTGGCAATACTGATTAAAGTTGGACATATATTCTTATGATCCAATAATTTTGCTCCTAGATATATCATCAAAAGAAACACATAAATATATTAATCAAGAGATATGTATTATGGTGTTTATAACAGTGTTAGATGGAAACTTCCAAAATGTCCATTAATAGAATGGATAAACAATAGTTGTGATACAGTCATATGATGACATGCAGCAATGAAAATGAACAAAGTATGACTACAAGTAACAATATGGACAAATCTCATGACAAAAAGTTGAGCAAAGGAAACCAGACATAAAATAGACTGTATAATTCTATATAAAATATAAATACAAGCAAAACTAATGATGCTACTGAAAAGTCAGGTAGGGGTTATTCTAGGGCAGGTAGGGAAATAGTGACTGGAAGGAAACATGACGGTGTCATCTAGGGTGTTGATAATGTTCTTTTTCTTTATCTAGGTGCTGGTTACATGGGTTTTTTTTGGCTTCTAAAAAATTCACTGAGCTGTCTACTTATAATATGTGTACTTTTCTGTATATAGAGCTTTCTTTTAAAACGCAGTTTTACACACAGATACACAAAAGCAGTCAAAATCCTTGTCATAGAAAAAAACTAAGGGTTCTGAGACAGTTCATTTAAATAATCAAATTTTCAACTCACTAGATTTTGTATACCATTCCAGATTTTCTTATGCAAATATAAGCATCTCTAGATATATTCATATTTTGATTCCCCGCCCTTTTACACAAAAAGTAGTTTACAATACATTGTTTGAATTCTGCTGTTGAAATAACAATGTATGTTTGAAAACTTCCAAATCTGCATATAGAGAACATCCTTTCTTTTTTTAAAGCTGTATAGCTAGGCCACAGATCATTTAACAAGTACCCTATGGGTAGACATTAGGGTGTTTCCAATAGTTTGCTACTACAAAAAGGAAAAAATATAATGTAAACTCCAATGTATGTTGGTTATAACTTTTAGATGCCATTAAACAGGAAACAGACAATGAAAATTAGAAGCAAGACTATCAGCACTTTCATCATATTCCAGATATCAACACAATGACTATGGTATTACTCATTATAACAGAGTTGCTTTTGTCATATACTATTTTGTGTGTGTGTGTGTGTGTGTGTGTGTGTGTGTGTGTGTGTGAATGCAGCCAAGGATTCCCCTCCAGCTAACCAGTTACTTGTCCATCTATTAAGTGCCAACCTTCAAAAATTACAGTGTCCAGCAGAAAGCAGCATTAGGGCATTCATAAGACTTAACTTGAACACAAACCAGACAGAAAAAAAATGAGAAAAAGAGCCCACTTACCATAGATCTGTTCTACAATACATTCAAAGTTTAGAGTTGTTGCAGGGCTTCCAGGGAAAAAAAAAGCATCTAACGCATCTCAAAGCATATGTGGGTGACCCATGGTTTCAGGATTTCTAAAGTAGAAAATCAAAATTATATTAGTTAAAGGCTTTTCTCAGCCATGTTGATTTGAGTTAACATATATGACTAAATGTTTCTCAATTGTTAAGATGCATCTTCCTCTTTAGTAGGTCAACGGGATTTTGAATTCAGATATTCAATGACACTTTGGATAAAATGATTTTAAAAAACAGAATATTAAAGTTCTTTATGAGGGAATTTAAAGTAGGAGAAGAAAGTAAGTGGGTAACATAATGTATCAATCAACCTAAAGAGAACTGTGTTCAAGGACTTTAGGAAGTTGATAACACCAACCGCATACAGTTCTGATATATTAAATTAATTTCTACATGTCAGCATGAATATCTAAAGTTAATTTTAAGCATGAAAAGGCAGCAGAGAAGTAGTTTGTAATGCTGATGTGTTAAGACTAATTAAACAGATATTTACTCGATATGAAGAATGTATACGATATTGTTGAAAAACTCTGTGACAAGCTATAATATGACAAAGGCAAAATATATTATGGTTGATACTGTCTTGGATGTCAAAACCTGCCTCATATTCAACTATAATAACTCCATTACAATTCTTATGACTAAGAGAAAAAGTTTTATCATTTTTATTTGAAATGTTAAAAGTTTGCTCTATATGTGTTTACATGTGACATTTGAGAGTCTACACTGAAAACTAAATTTTTGTCATTAAAAGAAGATAACAGCATATGAATACTCATCTTAAAATATACAATTACATAGAATATACAATATCACATATTAATATGTTAATGAATATGTAACAAGTTTCCTACTATTTTCTTCTGGCAAAATGATATGAGAATCTTGAGTGCATGATATCAAGAACAGTGACTCTCTAATAATTATCATTAATTTGACTGAAGCTGAAAGAAACTCTCATATCTTAGTCTTCTATCCTTTATCATTAAGCTATTCATGGCATTTTTTCTTATCCTTTGCTCTCCTTAAAGTCTTCCTCTTATCCTGTTTCTTGCCTTTGCTACTGTACATTGCACTTTTCCAATACTTCCTCATTTCTGCCAAATCTATCTTTCTTCTCTTTACTGCTTCACAAATAGAATGTTGAGCAAAAAAAGTCAAAGATAAGAATAAAAAGTGTATTGCTTCATATATATAAAGTACAAAACAGGTAAAACAAATCTATAATCCTGGAACTCAGGACTAGGATTTCCCTTCGTGAGTACTAGTATACTGATAGGAAACAAAAAGGAATTATGTGGTGTCCACCAATTCCCTCTGTGCAGGCATAACCATGGCATTCATTCATTCAATCATGCTACCAGAGTATCATGAGACTCTGTAGTAAGCCTCCACATTATCTGTTACATGCTTTACCTGCACTGACACAATGGGAAAAGCCACTGAGTTAATTTTTGTGAAAGGTGTAATAAAGTCTATGTCTAGATTCTTTTGGTGGGCGCGGGGAGGGGGGGATGTGTATGCCTATGTGTTCCAGCACAGTTTGTTGAAAAGACTATCTTTGGTATTGCTTTTGCTATTTTATCAAAGGTCAGTAGACTATAGTTGAGTGTATTTCTGGGCTATTCTGTTCCACAAATCTGTCTATTCTTTTGTCCATACTATATTGTTTTGATTACTATAGCTTTATAGTAATCTTGAAGTTTGGTAACAGTGGTCCTTCAACTTTGATTTTCTTCTTCATTGTGTTGGCTATTCTGGGTCTTTTGCCTCAATCAGCTTATATCTGTAAAGTAACTTGATGGAATTTTTATTGGAATTGCATTGAATCTATAGATCATGTTGGAAAGAATTGATATTTTGACAATATTGATCTCCTACCCATGAAAATTGAATGTTTCCATTTACTTAGTTCTTCAATTTTGCTCATCAGAGTTTTGTAGTTTTCCTCATATAGACCTTGTATGCATTTTTTTAGATTTATGCCTAAGTATTTCTTTTTTTTATACTAATGTCAATTGCATTTTTTTAATTTCCAATTTTATTTGTTCATTGTTAGTATACTGGAGCTGATTTTATTTTGATAGGATGATAAGATGGCTTTACTGAATATGGTGAGTACAGAAGAATAAATAAATAACAGAATTTAGAGAATAAGGAAATTTATAGAGTGATGTGCCTACAGAAGTAGGTAGAAGGAACTACATGCAGGTCCTCAAGAAGTTTTGTTTTATATTATATGATTATATTATATGATCATATTTCTATTGAAAAGGTCAGGATGGCTCTTGAATGGAGAATATACTACAAGAGAACCAAAGAAGGGCTAAATGCCCTAGAATAGATCAGAGAGCTATTAAGAGGTAAATTCACAGGTCTTGGTAATGGACTGCATATGGCAAAATGCAACTTGAAATAGGAATTGAGTGAAGTTCCATTACTTAGGCAACTAACTCTACAAATTGTCTTATCATTTAATAAGATACAAAACATTAGAGTGAGAATAGGGAACCTTTTTTCTGCCCAGGGCCATTTGGGTATTTATAACATCATTCTTAGGCCATACAAAATTATCAATTTAAAAATTACCCTACTATATTTGGTCAAACATTTAATTAACTACCCCTAATGCCTTGGCAGAGCCAGACCAAATGATTTTGCAGGCCTTATACAGCTCTTGGGCCCAACATTCCCCACCCCTGCACTAGAGGAAGTTCAGTCTGGGGTATTGTGAGGTTAAGGTTCCATTAAGACTTTTAAGAAATAGGTAAATATATGAATTTATGATTCTGGAGGTCAGAGAAGCAATCTGTACTATAAATGTTAGACATTGGTATATAAATTGTAACTGAGGTCCTGGGAGTGGATGAAGGTAATAAAGAACATGGTAAAAAGATAAAATGGTCCTAAGGACTTCAAGATTTGATGGCAGAAAGCAAGAGCCTTACTTTTTTAATACCCTCTAGCCATTGAATTGTCCCTTCTTTCAAACACTAATCCCTCTCCTGTGCTCCGATTCCATTCCTTCTACCTCATTCAAGTCCTTTTATCAATTGTCTAAAGTTGTTTTACAGTGCCTCTCAAACAACAAAACTCCTCCCTTGATTTTTTTGTCATCTCTTTCTATCCCCTCCCACCACTCCAGAACAAATTTTTCTAAAATGTAAAATGGTCTATTTTTATGGAATATTCAACTTCACTTGCCATTTAATTCTAAATACAATTATTTGACTTTTCAGTTTAACAAAATAAACCATTATTGCTAAATCAAATAATCACTTTCCAATTATATTTTGTTTTCTGTTCCTCTGCCCAGCTTGTAAATATTTATGTTCCCCAAAGTTTATTCTTAGTTCTTTTTTTCTTCTGATTCTAAAATTACATTTCCTGGGGTAAACTTCCATCATATGCTAATTAACTTCAAATCTATGTTTCATCTAGAGTTCCCTCTTTCACATAATCCACTGTGCATTGGATATTTCCACTTGACTACTCCATAGATTCCTCCAATTACACACATTTTTTTAAAATACTCATTTTATGATCTACCATACCCTAAAATAACCAACATAACTACAAAATTCTGCTGTCTCTCCTTTATCCTTTATCATCTACTAGAGGCCCGGTGCACGAAATTCGATCCCTGTGGGATCGGGCCTAAACTGGCAGTCAGACATTCCTCTCACAATCCGGGACTGCTGGCTCCCAACCGCTCGCCTGCCTGCCTATCTGATTGCCCCTAACTGCTTCTGCCTGCCAACCTGATCACCCCCTAACCACTCCCCTGCCAGCCTGATCGACGCCTAACTGCTCCTCTGCAGGGCCGATTGCCCCCAACTGCCCTTCCCTGTCGGCCCAGTCGCCCCCAACTGCCCTCCCCTGCCAGCCCGGTCACCCCCAACTGCCCTCCCCTGCCGGCCCATTCCCTAACTGCCCTCCCCTACAGGCCTGGTCACCCCCAACTGCTCTCCCCTGCAGGCCTGGTCGCCCCCAACTGCCCTCCCCTGCTGGCCTGGTCACCCCTAACTGCCCTCCCCTGCCGGCCATCTTGTGGCTGCGTGAACCAACATCTTGATGGTGTGGCAGTCAATTAGCATATTCCCTCCTTATTGGCTGTGGGTGCTGCCATCTTTGCGATGGTGTGAGGGTCAATTAACATATTCCCTCTTTATTAGATAGGATCACCCACAAAGCTGTGCAAGGCAGAAACCTGTTAATCATCTTTGGTTCCTCCTGTCAACCTTCCTTGATCATATCAATTCTACCCCTTATAGTAATATCTTAATTCATTCCATTCTCTTTATTCCAGTCACACTTTTAGACAATCCATTTTCTTCTAGCATGTTTAGCCAAAACATAATGATCAAATATAATCACTGTCATTCTTTCCTTAAAAGTTTTCAATGATTTCCCATTTCCTATTATCCCTAAAGGAAAAAAATATACTACCTTAAGAAAACCAATTAGACCTTCTCCAGTCTCCCCTTCTATTCATACTATGCATAAACCATGAGAACTACTTACACAGAAGCAATGAGAACAGATTTACTGAAGGAGCCGTCTTCCTATTCTCTGTAATGGCTTCCATTCTCTATAATGATTATATCACCTACACATTCTTCAAAACTCAGGTTAAGCTTTCTCATCAGGGGAAACTTTCCAAGGCCCTTCTCAGTCCAAGTTAGGTATCATACATTTGTCCTCCAATAGAAATTATATAGTATACTTTAGTATTCTATTTATCCACCTATGTCCCTCAACTGTGCACTCAAGGAAGGCAAAGACTAAGTATTCTTTTTCCTGTAACCTGGAAATTAATTAATTATTATTCATCATTAACAGCGCACCTAAACATATACCTTTTTATCTCTTTGCTTCTAAAAATACACTGTATTTAATTCAATGCCTTATATTCAACTCTATATACTGGTAAATTCAAATATGTGTGATTATTTGCTTTGAGAGCCAAAGTTTTGTCTTTGTAAAAAAAAAATCAAGACAAATTAAATTATCCTCTGATAATTTTATACTATTCCAAAGATACAGCCTAACTTCAGAAATTCCTTGGGTGCATATGTCATGTTTCCCAAATTATAAAAGTTGAAAACAATTCTTCAGTTCTAGTAATAAGGCAAACAAAGCATCACATCATCATCCTTAGAAAACCAAAGGGTAAACAGAGTAGGAGACAAGGGATTAGGAAAAATAAAATGTAAAAAATCAGTATTTAAGAGCAACAAAAATATCCAAGATGTTTCTATTTGCTATTAAAATGCTTTGCCACTTTTTGTTTTGCTCTTCTTAGTAGTTAGCTACTACAGGACAAAATTTGTACATATTGCTCAATGTATTCAAGTGCTGTTCTGTTTTCTAATGTTAATCTTATCTCCCCCAAATAAGAACATTTTTACTTCTGTAGGCCTAAAAATGACAAGATTAGGTCTAAGCAAAGAGTAAGCACTTAAAAGCTATTTACTAAATGATTTAGATATATACTGGCAAAAGGTCCAAAATAAAAACATCTAAACCTCATCAAACTTTCCAGATGATATAGTTGAATAGCAACATGAGTTTGTTTTTTTCCTGAACATTTTTCTTTAAAAAAAAAAATCCAGAAAAATGAAAGACCTCCCCAAATGAAAAACTCCAGTCACTACTTAGCAAACTAATTTTGATGTATCAAACAGAACCTGCCAAAGAGTTTTAACGGGTCATTGAGATTTAAAACAATTCAATGGCAAGAACTGCCATGAGGTTTGGTTGTATTTTAAAAGTAGCATACATCACTGTCAAAACCAGTCATAACTTTGTAGTACAGGCATGATTTGGGAGTCTTTTTTAGTTTAAACTTGTCAATCATGAATGCTTTTAAAAATCACTTACCCACCACACACACACACACACACACACACACACGCTCAGTTTTAAGAAAAATTTTAAATCGAAAGACACAGCTCTAAATTACATTTTCCCCCTGCACATAAAATTCCTATTCTAATAAGAAAGCTCTCATTTCAAAGTTCACAAATCACTAGGAAAATAAAGTACATACACATTTCATTCTTACCAGTTTTTTTTGGAAGAATACCTCAAGTAGTTTGTTATTTGAAGGTGCCTTAACAGCAAACGACAATTAAATGTGTGAACAAGGTTGTCAGAGTAACACTTGTCATTCACACCACTTATGGAAAGGGACTTTCAGAAGCATTAATTAAAATTAACGAAAGCTTGTCACGGGGACGTGCCAGAGAAGTACATTTTGTCATTTGCTCTTAGAATCAGAGGGAAACCAAAGCGGCTCCAAGCTCAAGAGTTTTCACTCTAAGATCTAAACCCAACCCACCTGCCACTGACAAACTGAGCTCAGATGCTCAGCAAGCAACTCATTAAGGTGAGTTCCGATTCCTTCAGTATAACACAACCATTTTTAAAAAAATTAGTGACTTCAGGTGAAGACGATGAATTTTCAATCAGGTATCAGAAGAGAAAGGGGCGGGGAAATGTATCTTTCCTCTTCACAGACAAGCCTAGGTGAAAAGTCCTACTGGCAGTTGTTTGATATTTCGTTCCACCGATTGCTTCTGTAATTAAACGTGCATGAAGACACTCAAAACGAGAGCAAAGTTGTATATTACCCACCTCTTGCCCCAAAGAACCCCGGAAGGCTCTCACCCAGGGCTCAGGGGGGCCTTTCTCACCTGGGTCCCGCACAAGTCCGCCGTCCGCACGCAGAGAGCACTTTTCAGCAAGACGCCTTGCTATTGGTTGACTTAAGACGGAACTCTCAGTTCTATTGGCTACGAGAGCCGTAAGGGGGCGGGAGTTGGGGGCTGGCGCTGACTGGCCGGCTACGGGAGTTCCCAGAGTTCCTATTGGGTCTACGCGGGAAGCGCCAAGATGGCGGCAGAGGGAGCCAGCGGCCCCGGCGCCTGGAGTCCTGGATCTGTGGCGGCGGCAGCCAGCAAACACAACGTCACCAGTTTCCAGAGAAGGGGTCCGAGAGCCAGCGGCACCGAGAGCGGCGGCTGTCGACTGGTGTCCATCGCAGGCACACGGCCGTCGGTGCGGAACGGACAGCTGCTGGTATCAACCGGGCTCCCAGCCCTGGACCAGCTCTTAGGTCGGTTCAGAACGGAGATCTAGGCTCGACAGAGGGAAAGCAAGGGAGGGGACTTGCTGGGGGAGCTCGCCTGACCCCACGTGTCTGTGTGGCCCCCCCGCCTTCGGACGTGGAAAGATGGCCTGGTCTGAGAGAGTGGAGGGAGGAGGGGTTGCATGGAGACTTGGAAATGCTGTTAACCAGACCGGTGCTGGTGCTCCCACTGTCACTCGCTTCCTGCCCAGCAGCCTTTTTCTAGTTTGCGACCGGATCCCTTCGTGCTGTTACCTCGGTCAAGGGGAGTTACGTTTGGAGACGGTGCGGCCGTCCTCTCTAGAACCCCCTCCAGGTCTCTGCCACCCCCAGGTAGTTCGTGGTTTGGATTAACCTGCAAAAGTTGATATCACTGTGAGAGATGGGCTTCATTGGAAGATATTGGGGGGGGGAAAAAGAAAAAGTAACTTCCTGTCTTCCACCGCCAGGCTGCTCATCTCCGGTTCTGAATCTTTAAACAAACCACGTTGGCTTGAAAAGAATGGATTAAAGGTTTATGTAGATCCCAAGTAGTTACACGCGTATCTGCTGCGTTAAATACACTTATGTTTCTGTTCGATTTTTTTCTCTATTAACTCATTTTAACGAGTGAAAGAAGGGCAGTTCCTAGGCGTCCCTATATAATCTCTGGAACCTTTCTTTCATGACAAGCCTGCTATGAATATGCTTGTTTTGTAACTGTTACACTGAAAGGATTAGGTTGGTAGAACAGAACTCCTATGTTAATAAAGGTTGTGAATTAGTTAATTCCTATCTGAATGCTGCTTCATTCAAAAAGATGTATGTTTGTATTTCATGACTTCTTAATAGTGTGTGATATGTGCCAGTTAAATCTTGTACACTTTCATAAAATTCTAGAAACGCCATTGCTTGTTCTTGTACTTCACTCGACATTTTTCCCTCTGTAATCCCTCCACCCCTAGCCCCCAGCCCCACCCTGCAAGGTTTAATGCAAAGGAAAGTGACAAGGCAAGCAACCAGTGAGAAAGAATATGGTTGGTTGTTTTTTTTTGCCTCTGTTATTTCACGTCCTTAACTGGATCTTGGTTATTTCTACATAAGTCTAAGTATTTTTTACTTAATTGTCTCAACTCTATTGCCTTCCTAAATTGCATGGTACTACAAACAAAAATTATTCAGAATATCTCATTGGCAAGTATTTATCTCACTTTTTTTTTTAACCCTTGCAACCTTACTTGGGTGTGATCCTATATTTGAACTTAAAACTTGGAAGCTGTTTTCAAATTGAAGTTCAAATATAGGATTACACCAAGTGTTTATATATATGTAATATATATTATACGTGATTATATATTAATTCAATTGAGATATGTAATTTTACTCACTGGATCCTGAAACTCTCCAAACAAAAAGGTCACATTTCTGACGTTATATTCTTCAGTTCCTAATTAGAGTAACAAAATGTGCCTAGCACAGTTCCTGTCACTTAGTAGATTCTCAATAAGTTCTTGATTGAAAAATAAAATAATGTGTAGAAAAAAACAGCAAAAACCTGGACAAGAATTTATGAAACATGTAAGATGAAGCTCAAAAAACAGACTCAGAAATTAAGTTACATGAACAGAGCCACAAAACCATTGACAGCCTGGGCTGATCTTTAGGCTCCAGATTTAGTGCTCTGCAAATGCTACAGCTGTTTCAAATTTTTGAGAACTCTTTTCAAGTGATTTTAACCATTTATTGAACCTGAGACTAGTGATTTAACTATAGTCCCTGGAAGCACCCCACCAAAAAGGTAACTCAAAGCAACTTCCTCATGTGTTTCTACAGTGATATAAACTTGAACTCTAATTTCAAAATTTTCCAGGTATGCTTGAGGATAGGGACTCTCGTATTTTACAGTAACAAGCTTATGCTAAAAATTATTGTTCATTAAGATGATTGCAATGAGTATCAGTTTTTAGAGATTTTGAAATATTTTTTACGTGTGTATAGTTAACTCTCAATGTACAAAGGAAGGGAAGAAGTTGTTATAGGAATTACTACATTTGGAATAATAATATGTGCAGAAGTATTTTAGTTGTTAACTTCTTAATGCCATTTTTGTATTTTCATGTTCTATTTTGTATGGCCCTGTGGAACAAACCCGTTACATTTGTTTTTCATTAAAACATGATTTGAAAGTGAAACATTTGGCTGCTAATGTGTATATACATAGGTATAAGCAATTCAGATTATGTTGTTACTCACATGTTATTTGACTGGGATTCTGACAAGCATAATATGACCATATTGTGACAAAATGTAATGATAGGATGGTATATCAGGATGATGAAACTATACTGTGACATTGTATTGTTGCCTAAATAAATTCAGTAATTACTGGGTAACAAGTAAATACCATATTGTTATTGTCATACAGTACAGCGATATTTTACTGTTGCCACTGTGACATCATTGTAATTTTAAGCAGAGATGCAAAATATACTTAAAAGTCATCATACAGGCTAATTAAATAATCTCAAATTTCTATTCTTACTACTCCAATAGCAAAGTGTTTCATAAATTTGAGAATTTCCTATATATGCATCTTTTAAACATGATCTAATCATATTAAATATTTTTGTTCTGTCAACTGAATTTTTTTTAAAATATATTTTATTGATTTTTTACAGAGAGGAAGGGAGAGAGAAAGTCAGAAACATCGATGAGAGAGAAACATCGACCAGCTGCCTCCTGCACATCTCCCACTGGGGATGTGCCCGCAACCCAGGTACATGCCCTTGACCGGAATCGAACCTGGGACCTTTCAGTCCACAGGCCAACGTTCTATCCACTGAGCCAAACCGGTTTCGGCTGTCAACTGAATTTTATTGTTAGATACTGATAGACATTTCCCAAGTGGGCTACATTTAAATTTTTCAGGTTCTGAGATTTCCTAATCCAGGTTCTCAACCCTGCCCTTTCAGGAAATTTAAGTTGTTATTTGATGATACTATATGTAAATATTCCATTTTTCCTTTCCAAAACTTCCAAAGAGAGGTTATAATGGGTAAAAGATTCTGGCAGAATTTCTTTTATCCTTGCATATAAGGTGTAGTCCATTTTAGGGCTGTATCATTGAGTCTGTAGGAATTATTCCCCAGTCTCATCCTTCAAAAAGATACTTAAAGGAAAGGTGACTTCAGGCTTGGCTGGGTTAACTTCTTTGCTGTTTAGGACTTAACTAAATTTTGACTGTCAGGTGAATGGCAGATAGGAATTTGGGGTAAATAATAATCCAGGAAGAGTATTCCAAAGAAGTTCGATGTAGCTGCCATTTTCAACACTGATGTCAAAAAATAAATACTAGTGGGCTTATTTCCTTTGCTTCACTATATCAGTCTAGAGACTGTAGGAGATATTCATTGAGTTTGGACTCAATAAAATAATCCTGGTTATGATATTTTAGAACTAAAAGCTCTAGCCTGTTCCTTTTTTATGTAAAATTGTTTCATGTGATTTAATCTATATAACCATTGTCACTTCATAGCTTTTTGTATTTTGATTCCTATATTTGCCCAGTCAATAATTGTTATAATTAAGAGTTGTCAGGATGTCTTATACTCCTAGAGAGAGAAGAAAAGGTAGATATATTAATGAAATAACTGCAATTTAATTTGAGGTATGACATTAAATATTTAAGGATATTGCTATGAACTAAGGAAAGGATATGTACTTGTTTTTAACATTACATTTTCTCTAAAATGTCTATTCTTTTAAGCAAAACTATTCTTTTATAGAGAGCACTTAAAAGGACTTGTTTAGTTCACTGTTACTTTTTTTAAGTGTTTTTCCTTTCCCTTTTATTTTCTCTTAACTTTGAAAAGGGAGATACCCTTGTTGTAAAATAAGGGATCATTGCTGGGCCTTCATATTACTTTGACGTTATTTACCCACAATTTATAGCTTAATTAAAGATTTGTTTTGGGAAGTGTGGGGATTGAATATTTTTTAAAATAATATCAATATAATTTTCTAACTTCATACAAATTTTAAAAAATCCCTTACCTCATATTTAAAAAATCATAAGATAGGAAAATATTGGCACTTAATCACAAGATCTTAAATTTTCTTTAATGTTTTCTAAAGCATTAGATTTTTTTTCTAGTTTTAAGACAAAATGCTGTGTCATTTTTAAATATAAAATCTTGATGAAACTAATACATTAAAATATTATGCTTGCAAACTCATGTAATCTTAAATGTGGGTATGATTTTTACTGCCTGTGTTTTTAGTAAGCTGGAGATAAATATATTTCTTAAGAAGGTCTAGAAGTAAAACCAAGTGTTATTTGCCTACAGACTTAGAAAGTGTCTCCATATTTCTATAAGATACAATTAAAGAAGACCATTTTACTTCATTGTATGTTTAATAAAGACATTATAATTGCTTACTTACCTGTCAAACGTTTTAGGGATTACTGATTTTAAAGATATATTAAAAGCTAGCTTTGGTTGAATATATTGTCAAAATATACTCTTGTGGTTGGTTGTTTAGGCTTTCAAATTTTTGCTGGGGACATAACTACAAACTTATTGGAACTTACTCTAGTTTTGGCCGGCTGCGGTGGCTCAGTAGTTGAGCATTGACCTATGAACCAGGAGTTCTCAGTTCAATTCCCAGTCAGGGTGGGCTTGATCCCCAGGGAGGGGTATGCAGGAGGCAGCCAATCAATGATTCTCTCTCATCATTGATGTTTCTATCTTTCCTTCTCCCTTCTTTGGAACCAATAAAAATATTTTTAAAAACTTTAGTTTAAAATACAGCTAGAACTTCAGCATATCAAGTGAAGTATATCAAAATAGCTTATACATAGATATTTGGGGAAAATTTGAGGTCTGTCACACTAAAATTTGGAAGACTAGAGGAACTGCTGCTATGTGTGTGTATATGTGTGTATAAGTACATCATATGCATAGAATAAAAGATTGATTTAAAAGTAGTTAATAAGATAGATTCATCTTATTAGCTACTTCAAAATAACCAACCTTCAAAATGACCAACCATTACTAAAGCCAATACTAATTTGAGTAGTTAATTTACATAATAGAGAAAATAGCAAAATTTTGTAAGAGAAATCTTGGTGGGATATTAATTCGGTTGATAAAAGTCATTGAAATGTCCCCATTTTATGGTGTTTTACGTAATGTTGAACTTTCCAAAGATTAGAATTTTAATGTACATGAGATTTTTAAATGAGTGGTGTTTTCTGAATTATCAGGAATAGTAGCTTGTATCATTCTTACAGAAAATTACCTCCGTAGTATAGTCATTCACTGTTGTGATCATCTTTTATAAAGCAAGAACATTTTCAGTGGTTTGTTCTGATCAGAAAATAATAGCCAGAATGGCAAGGGTAGCTCTTACGAGTACCTCTCTGGGCCAGACACCTGAGCTACGTATCACTTCATTTAATTGGGAAACTATTCCTTGATGTGTTCTTATCATCCCACTGTGAATAGCATTCACAAAGTATCTTTATTTCTCTAAGTATTCCTTTACATGAAGCCTGGAAGCTTTATATAAATTCCTATAATTTGAGAAGACATGAATGAAGACCCAGGAAAGCTGCGATAAATTTAAATCCTTCCTGTAAGATTTCGGTTAAGGGAAGAAAGGCAACTACCTTTTTATAGTACCCACTTAAGACTAGCCCACTGCAGAGTTTTATGTGCTTATATTTCATCTTGCCAGGCATGTAGCATGATAAGTCCATTTTGCAGATAAATTGGTGATTAGGTAGTTAAATGTTTATTTTTGCATGCAAGGGAAAGTAGGGAAATAAGGAGTTGGAAAGTGTAATTTAAATGTTCAAAATGGATTTAAAAATGGTCTATATGGTTTATATGTGGCACAAACTGTACATAAAACATTTAGCCTAATCTTGCCCAAAGAAAACCTTTTTTGCTCTAATCTTTTATGGCTGTTATCTTCACATAATTTTCAGTTTGTGTTTTAAGCTTTTGGTTTGAAGAACATTTGAAGTTGTCCTATGTACAGCTTTAAATGCTATAATGAAGGAACTTATCTAAATGTGAAATTAAAATATTTAGTTCTATAACAAAACCACTTAAGCATAACAATATATAAATTTTTTGTTTTTTATTGTTTTCTCTATCAATTTAGAATGTTCTGCTTATCATAAAACCACCAAATGTTGCATGTTACCAAATTTTAATTCTTTGAAAACAGCATTTATGCTACTTACGAAGCAAAAAATAAACTCTATCAAAGGAACTTTTCATACTAAGTTTTTCTATAAAACATTTGCCACTACAAGACTTTTGGGGGAAGTTCTTAATTAGTGTTCTATTGTTTAGCCCTAAAGCATTCTAATTACATTGTGTTCAATTGTCCAACAATGTTGAGTGTTTTTTTTTAGAGTTTGTATTCCATTTATTACAACAGCATCTGTATACATTTGAAGACTGTTCAGACATGTTTGCCTGCTAGGTGTCCTGGTGGGCTCTCTGGCAGGCCCCATAGCTGGGTGCCTCAGATCTGGGGACCAGTGTGGTCTCCAACAATTGAAGTTTTAATATTACCCTGGCTCTCCTCAGCCATGAGCTTCCTTAACACTCCTTGCCAGGCATGTAGTATGATAAGCCCATTTTGCAGATCAGAACACAGAGGCATCAATAGCTGCATTATCTGTCCAAGACAGGAAGCAAGGGATTAGTAGAAAATGAGTTAGGTTTGGGTGACCCCAAAACACATTTTTTTTTGTTTTCTTGTTTTTTACTTTTTTATCAAATTTATTGGGATGACATTGGTTTAAAAAATGATATAGGCTTTAGGTGTACGTCATCTATATATCCTATTGTGTGTTCCCCACCCCAAGTCAAGTCTCCTTCCATCACAATTTATCCTCCCTACTAGAGGCTGGTGCATGACATTTGTTCCACCATTTGGTCAATTTGCGTATTAGCCTTTTATTATATAGGATGCCCTATTCTACCTCCCCCAACCCCTGAGTAGTTTCTTTTTAAATTATACTTTAAGTACATGCCATATTTTTATTTTTAAGTAACCTTGTGTTTGTAACATTAATTATAAGTAATACTTTACAAATGTTTTGATAATAAAATAGCAGTTGAATGTTGTATCTTTTTAGTGTAGTTCTAGTTTCCTAAAACTTGATTTTAAATTGATTTTTTATGAATCTTATTTGAGTTATATGTTCATCATCATATTATCCCAATTCAGATACTTAAAAGAACATTTTCTAGTTATAATGAAATTTTATTTTGTGATTGTGACATATTTGTTTGAAATGACAAATATAATGTTTATTTTAAATTCTAAATATATTTAAAGCATGTCCAGACTTTGTGTATGTTATTCATAATGAAAAAAGAATCCGTTTTAATTATCAGGATTTTTTCTCCAAGGCCCATTAAATATGAAGATAAAGATTTAGGTGGAATTTCTTTTCTTTAGTAGTTAAGTGTGCACATTTAGGTCTTGGCTATTGAGTTAATTTATTAGGAAGTGCTAAATATAACATTATTGAAATGCTTAAACACTGTTATGTTGAATGCTGCATGGCCCTGTCAGGAGAATGGAGGATAGTACAGTATACTGTGAAAGTAATTGTAATGTGTAGTGTGTAATTACACATAATATGTAATTATTTCATAATAGCACCTTAAGCAAAGTATTGCAAAAGTGATTAAAATGTTGTTTTCAACAGCAATTTTAAAGTTATTGGAAATCTGTCCTTGGTAAAGCCTAACTTTTATGCTAAAAGTAATGTGAAAACGTAGATTAATTTTCTTCATTTTGTTTTATTTCCAGGTGGAGGTTTGGCTGTTGGAACAGTTCTTCTTATTGGTTAGTATAGCATACATATTTCTGCTTTCTGATCAGTTTTCTGTTGTGCGTAATGATTTTCCAGGTTTTCCTATTCTGAAATTACTTGTAAGTATTTAACTTTCTGCAGGAGTTAAGGAATATTAAAGAGATATTGTCTTAAGTTCTAATTTAAATTTAAACTTTGATCTGAACTTGAAATAAATTAGGCAAGTATATCTGATAATGTAGCTCTTAGAAATGTTCACAGGGCACTGTCCTTCATTTTTTTAAAAAAAGACTAGAATTAATGCCAATTGATTTTTCTGGAGAATCTCATAGTTAGAGTGAGATTATCAGCGTGATTAAGAAGTTGATGTGCTAACAAGTTCATTGTATATATCTCAGATTTTTATCATTATTGTCTTCTTATTGAAAGAAAAGTAACAAACTGATAAATCGTATTTTTGTTTATCTTTAAAAGTACAATGGTTCTTATTTAAATATACATTCATAATACCATTTCCCTTACGTTTTTTAGTTTAGATTGGAGAATTGTGGAAATGAAATAAACCTTGGCAGTTACATCAAAGCTCCCATCTAGCCACCAATCACTTTTCCATAATCCTTGACAGATATCAAACACAATTTGAGTACAAATTATCTAGTTAAAAGAACTCACTACTTCACAAAGCAATGTTTGTTGTTGAAAATACTATGATTTATTAGAAAGTTCCTTTTCTTAATGTTTACTCCATCTACTTATAACTGATTTTCGTTCCTAGTTTTGCCCTCTGTATTAATAATACAGAATTTATCTACTCTTTCACATGATATTCTTAAAATATTTGAAAATAACTGTTTTAACATCTAAAATCTTATTCAAACTAAATAGACATAGATTGTTAAATTAGTTTTTATGTATCTTGGTTTTCATCCTGGTTTTTTTCTTGTCACATCTAGTCTAGCATTGTCTCTTCAGCTGAATCCAGAACGGAATACAATATTCCACATTTAGAATGACCTATACTAGAATTCTAGAAATGATGATATCTGTCCCATATTTTAAAATTTATCTTTATTATACATAAAAAATACTTGAAGGACTTTATGGAAAAAATAACTTACAGTTTTTATATAAATAAATAAATACATAACATACAAAAGGATATATAGAAAAAAAATAAGTTGTTCTTGCAGTTCCTCAGTCCCAAACCCAGAGACAATACTGCCCTGGTAGCCCATTTAAATATTTCTACGTAAGAAATATACTTGGGAGTATTTAGCACCTTTGCCTTTTCCATTTAATACATCTTAGAGAAAAGTCCTTGTTCATTCATATAGATATACTTTATTCTTAACAGCATAGGATTTCATTGTATGGATATGCTATTATTTAAATCATTTAGGTTAATTCCTTTTTTTCTATTACTAACAATGCTATTGTGCAGATCTTGTATGTAAGCTTTGCATACATATGTAAACATCGCTTAGCTGCCTCCTCCAGGCTCCCTATCAGGGATTAAACCTGAAACCCAGGCATGTGCCCTGACCAGGAATTGAACAGGCACAGATGATGCCCAACCAACTGAGCCACACCGACCAGGGCAACTGTTCCAAGTTTTAATAACTGAAATTGGTGGTGAGAAAATCAAGGAATCAGCTCTAGGTATCATTAAGAGATGAGAAAAGATTTTCATAGCATAGTGGAAAGTAGTGACTGGAAAGAATAAATAAAAACACTTCATATTTATATAAAGAATTGAGAGCTCTATATAAACTTTATATATATATGTGTATATATATATGTGTGTGTGTGTGTGTGTGTATATATATATGTATATATATATAAAGAATGGCTAAAGAAATAGTGACACTGAGAACAAGAAGTGTCTTAACCGGGGAAAATTGTCCACAGCAATACCTGCAATAAACAAATGAAATAAGATAAAGATTTAAAAGTGTCAGGAAAATAGATAATTAGAAAGTCATTGTTGACTTTCATAGTCCCAGTGAAATGATAGGAGCAGCTCATTTAGACTTTGATATAAGGAGAAATTGATACTCCTCTTCTTTCTATCCTCTGGCTTCAGTCTACCCCTTGGGGGCCTAATGAACAAGTGTAATTCCATTTCCATATGACAGCCTGTCAAATATTTAAGGACAGCTCCCTTGCATCCCTTAGGTCTCTTTTTCTTCAAGCTAAATATCTCATTTCTCATGCTTTCAGGTCCCTTGACCATCCTGCTCACACCATTCTGAAGATACTTTAGTTTATGTAAATACCCAAGTGAAATATATTATTGTCAGTCTGGTTGACTACTAGAATAGATGAGGACAATCAGCTCTCTCAACCTAGGAATTAGACTATTAATTCTGGCCAGAACCACATTTGCTTTTTGGCAGTTCCGTCACATCATTATCATTTTTGCTTGCCCAGTGTTAAGGGGATTCACTAAATAGATTAATTAAATGCTTATTATACAACTTCAAAATTTGTTTCACAAAATTGGTAATTTTCAGCTTGAAGAGCATAGTGTTTTTGCTAATCCCTAAATAGGTGATGTTCCTCCTGTTAGTTTTTTGTGCCTCAAAGGAGTATGAAAAAATATAGTTGATAACTATTAGAGAGAGAGAGGGAGATCGAGTGAGTGTGTGTGTGTGTGTGTGTGTGTGTGTGTGTTATGGTGTGTTTTCAGCAAACTACAGTAGATCTGGCTGATTTATAAGACAAAGGTAGATTTTTGTTTGTTGTTTGTTTCCCTTAATTAATTCTACAAATATTTACTAGATATACACTATGTGTCCAATACTAGGGATATACCATTGGGAAGTGTTCTCTGCCATGAGGATCTTGTAGCTTGGTGGGGAAATTTCAATGATGTGTATTAAAGGCTATAATAGGAGTTAACAAGATGCTGTCTGAAGCATGTGATCATCTCATCCAGCCTCGAGAAAGGCTTTTCCAAAAATACGGTTATCTAATCTGGGTCTGGGAGGGTTTGAGGGAATTAGCTAGCTGCTCCTCAGAACTTTTTGTATATTGTATTCTGGAACTGTATGATGCAATCAGATTAAGGTGATTGATGAGGTTGTTCAGATTTTCTATTTTTTAAACGTTTTTTTTCTTCAGTTCTGTCAATTACTATGATGTGTATAATAAAATCGCCAAATATAATTTACATTTTCTGAGTTCTGTCAATTTTCCTTTAAACAGTTGTATTTTTTATGAAATTCAAAGTAAAAATAATTTATCCACATACAGACAGTCCTCAGGTTATGTCGGACCCAACGTATGTCATTTCGTTGTTACCTCGCCATCTCCCATTTACAGTATTTATAAAAAAAAAAAAAAGTTCCATCATTTTGACGTCTGTACATATGTGCTTTATGTTTTTTATTATTTATTTACCACAAGTAAAGGTCAGGAATTGTTATCTTTCTTTTAAATTTTTTTTTTTACTGTTTCACTTCATTACTGCTGTGCATGTGCTCCATGTGAGTGACGTAGGTGCTTATGTAGGTGGGTTACGACTTAGGGCGAAAATCTCGTTACATCGCGCCGTAGGAAGGGGTCTCCAACATAACCCGAGGACATACTGTACATACATATCTGTGTATAAATACATAATACACAATCGCAGTGTTTTATAATTTCCCATCAATTTGTATTATTTTTTCCTTCCTATAAATATAAGTTACCATGTTGTGTCATTTTCCTTTACCTTTTAATGATCTATAGTACAAGTCAGCTGTTGATGAATTGCCTCAGTTTTCACCTCAATTTTTTGTTAATTCTCACCTGAGAATATGTTTAGAGAGAGGAAGGGAGAAAGAGAGAGAGAAAGAAACATCAATGTGAGAGAAACATGGCTGGGCTGCCTCCCATTTGCGCTCTGACTGGAAATCATACCTGCAGTCTAGGTATGTTCCCTGACTGGGAATCAAACCCACAGTCTTTGGTGTATGGGATGATGCTCAACCCAAGCCAGCTGGCCAGGGCTGACCTCAATTTTTTAATGTATTTTGTGAATTTACAACTTTTGGTTAAATTGGATTTGTTTTTCAACTCTTTGAATATATAATTACCATTTCTTCTGGCCTTCATTGTTTCTGATGACAAATCATTTGTTAATTGTATTGTTGTACCCCTTTATCTCATACCATTTTCCCCTTCTGCTTCCAAAATTATGATGTTCTTAGATTTGGTTTCTTTGCATTTATCCTAGTAAAGGTTTCCTGTGCTTCTTGGATCTGTAACTGAATAATTTCATCAAAGTTGGGGAAGTTTTGGCCATCACTTCTTTAAATATTGTTTCTGCTTCTTTCTGTCTCAGTGTCTAGGACTCCAATTAAACACATGCTCCACATGTCTCGAGTTCTGTTCAATTTTCTATGTTCTTCAGATTGCATAATTTCTGCTGATCTGCCTTCATGTGTTGTTTTTTCTTCTATCTTTAATCTACTCATGAGATCATCAAGTAAATTTTTTATTTAAAGAACCATAATTTTAAGGTAAAAATTTTCTGTCTACTTCATTTTTATAGTTTTCATTTCTCTGTTGATTTTTTTCTGTTTACTTATTGATACCATATGTTTGGGGTTTGTTTTTTTTTTTAAGGTTCAAAATTATTTACTTATTTATTTATTTTTAAATCTTTAATTTCTTTATTGGTTAAGGTATTACAAGTGTGTCCAAACCCCTCCCCATTAACCCCTAACCTCCCCCCTCCCACTCATGCTTTCATCCCCTGTTGTCCATGTCTATTGGTTTGCATGCATACAAGTCCTTTGGTTGATCTCTTCCCCTTACCCCCACCCTCCCCTACTTTCCCTCTGGGGATTGATAGTCTGATCGCTGTTTCATACCATATGTTTTTAATACTTTGTATTCATTTTTCTTTAATTATTTGAACATATTTATAATAGCTGTTTTGAAGTATTTTTTTGTTGTTAATCCTCACCATAGGGTATTTTTTCCATTGCTTTTTATAGAGTGGGAGGGGGGAGAGTGAAAAAGAAAGAGAGTGAGAGAAACGTCAGTGTGAGAAAGACACATCATTTGGTTGCCTCCTGCATGTGCCCTGACTGAGGCCAAGTACATGCCCTTGACTGGAATCAAACCTGCGAACCTTTCGGTGTGCGGGCTGATGCTCTCACCACCAAGAACACCAGTCAGGGCTGAAGTCTTTTTCTTTTAAATCCCACTTTTGAGCCCATTTGGAATCAGTTTCTTTGGAGTGTGTTTTCCTTAGTCTGGATCATATTCAGTAATTTTTGGTTGAAATCTGTATATTGTAAATAATAACATTGTAATGATTTTGAATTTTATTATGTTCTTCTGAAGATTACTAGTTTTTTGCTTTAATAGGTAGTTAGCTTGCCTGGGCTTAAATTATTAATTCATTTTAGTATACTATGCAGCAGATATCTCTGTTCAGTTTTTGTACCCTTCAATGTTGCCTTTTCAGCCTGGTCACACAAGATTGGTCATTGGAATCACAAAGTTTACTCAATGGCCAAATATTTGTACAAAATACATACTCGGATTTTGGGCTTACACTTTCTATAATCCTCAGCCTTAGTTCTGTTCTCTGACACTTCAAGTCAATAGACGTTAGCTTTTTATAGTACAAAATTTCTGCTCTCAGATTGGGAAAAGCATACCTTCAAAAGGAGCAGCAAATTTGCAAATCTCACATGCATAACCCTCTAAATTTTGTGGCTAGCGGAGGTGGTGTAGTAGATGGAGAATGATTTTTATAAAAGTCAGGAAGACGAAGAGTATCTACTTCAAAATAAGAGTATCTCTCAGTGGTTCTCAACCTTCTGGCCCTTTAAATACAGTGTCTCATGTTGTGACCCAACCATAAAATTATTTTCGTTGCTACTTCATAATTGTAATGTTGCTACTGTTATGAATCGTAATGTAAATATCTGATATGCAGGATGGTCTTAGGCGACCCCTGTGAAAGGGTCGTTCCACCGCCTAAGGGGTCGTGACCCACAGGTTGAGAACCGCTGTTTAGCCTATCTAACTGTACCTTAGGAAAACATAATTATCGCCCCACCTCCTATAATTGTTTTAAAGAGAAAAATTATAAAAACACCTGCTTGTTCGTGGTATTTGGTAGGATTCTGATTATATTATTTTTTTCTTTTTTACAGAAGAGGATAAATATAATACTTATTCTCCTTTGCTCTTCAAGTATTTCCTGGCAGAAGGAATCGTCGCTGGGCATACTTCATTGGTCGCATCTGCAAAAGAAGAACCTGCTGATATATTACAGGTATAGATTAGATTGTATTCTATATATTCAGTATTGCATCTTGAATATTTTATGAAAACATTATTTATATATATAAAAAAGATAATGTTTGTACATATACAAACTATGTTTATATGCACTAATCCAGCGGTTCTCAACCTGTGGGTCGCGACCCCTTTGGTGGTCAAACGACCCTTTCACAGGGTTCGCCTAAGACCATCCTGAATATCAGCTATTTACATTATGATTCATAACAGTAGCAACATTACAGTTATGAAGTAGCAACGAAAATAATTTTATGGTTGGGTCACAACATGAGACACTGTATTTAAAGGGCCAGAAGGTTGAGAACCACTGCACTAATGGATTCCTACATGCATTTTTTTTCTCTTAAAAGTATCAAATTTATTTAAGCAGATAGTTTCCTCTTTTTGGAAGAATAGTTTCTTGAGTTTGAAAGAGAAAAACATTGATGTGAGAACAGAACATCGCTCGGCTGCCTCCTGCATGCCCTCTACCGGGGATCAAGGCCGCCACCCATATGTCATGGAATAAGTAACAATTCATTTACAATGAACCATATCATATTTGATGAATTAGTGTAACAAGATATTTAGGAATGAAATATGAAAATTAAGACTATCATCTTCAGAATTATTTTATGGACTTTAAATCCATAAGTAAAAATTAAAATTCTATTTTAATAATTTGAAAGCATTCTTTTATTTCCCAAAATATCAACCTTTTACTCAAATACTGAACTCATTTGTTAAGATCTTATTCATTGTACCACATATCTTTTGCTTTATTGGATTCTTTGATTATAAATGAGATCACAGATACCAGTTGATTTAGAATTAGTTGTAGCAGTATTATTTGATAAACAATGTAAAGTTTTAATTTCTATTAAAAAAGTTTCTTTTCCTTCTGTTAATTTGGTGTCAAGATTAAGTCTGTGTTTGCTCTTCATCTTCAAATTACTGATCATGGAGCAAAAATTAGAATTCTGAATCCAGGGAGTGATCATTTGTTTGCTCTTAGTCATTAAAGTACAGTCTGGTCTTTCTGAGTAAATAGAATACAAAAGTATCTCAGATCTATCTTGTTTTTTGTGTTCTGCCAAAAATTGAAATAGCTGTAAGAATGAAGTTAAAGAAACACTTTTTGGTTGGCCAGATATATTCTTTAATGTTTTTTGTTGTTTTTGTTATACTTACTTCCAAAGTTGTAGCTTTAATACATCATGTTAAAATAATAAAAAATAATTCTGGCCCTTCTGTCATTCTACTTTGCAAGCTTTGTTGCATGCTCAATAACATAACACATTTTTCCATGCATTTTTAATTTTTTAGCCTGTATACTATTTATTGTATTTCCTATCAAAACTATTTTGTCACTGTATACGATCTGTCCACAGTATAAGGACAAATATTAGACAAGCCCTTTGAAGGCAGAGTTGTAATCGGTGTATGTTCCCTTCATTTGTTTGTCAACAATTTATTTGTTCAGAAAATTATCAGAACATACACTTTTCAATGCATATAATTCTGAAGTGCTAGCTCCCACCCCTTGCCACTCCTGAGAGCTTATTTAAAATTTGAAATTCTTCTCTGGCAGCTACAATTAGAGCTTCTTTGGCAATCTAAAAAGACTAAGAAGAAGCTTGCAAAGGCTCAATACTACTTCCAGCGACCTACATTTGTAGCCAGCTTTTAAAAGAGGGCATGTGCCTTATTTTCCAACAGGAATGAAAGTTAAAAGTATAAAGGAAAGTAAACCCAATTCTCTGTCACTAGCTTGTGAAAACCATCTCTGATATAACATTAAAATAAACACACATTTGTATTTGATGTTTGTGCATCGGCCAACAAAAAAAGGGCTTTTGCATGCAGAAAGGTAACTTAAGTCATGTAGTAAAAATTCCATATTCTGTAATATTTATCCTCAAGAAGGTGAAATATATATGGGATCTGGGCTTAGATTTTAATTTCTGTGTTGCTACTTAACTAGTGGCAGGATCTTGCACAAGTCACTTAACCTTTCATATTAAGATAGGGATAATACCTAGCTACCTCATTCCAGAGTTCCAAATTTAAAATATCTGGAAGGTTTGCTTTCTAAATCACACACATCACTTTCAAAAATTTTATTTCAAGCTCATCAAAAAATGAATTGTACTTGATGGTTATTGTTATGCTCAGAAGAAATGTTAAAATCTTAGCACTATTATATAGCACTTTATCATTCTTTGAAAATAAGCCATAAAGGCCAGAATTGAGAATATTAGAAGTAGAGTTCATTTTTCTTCTAAATACTTTTACCAAAAAAAAAAGTAGTTAGAAGAAAATATTCAATCCTTTTGAATTACATGACTTGAAATTCAGAAAACCAGAATCATTAAAAGTAAAAAGAAATACTTTTTCATCAGCTCCCAAATTAACATATTATCCCTGTAAATGAAATATTAAAGGATACCATGAAAAGAAGGCAGCACACCACCAAGGGTCATAGATTAAGCAGACAGTACAGAAGGATAACTTTGCGGTGTGACAAACTCAAAGAAGGCAGGGCTACTTCTCCAACTAGTGTTGGGATGATTCTTCAGTGGCCAGTCTTTCTTTCCTGAAACGTTAACTTTTGTTTAACAAAAAATGATAAGCAGTTGCAGAAAGTGGCCTTAGCTCACCACATCCATCTTTTAATATTCTGGAATAGTAATGAACTCAGAAGCATTTGAAATGTGCTACATTTTTATAAAATATTCTTACTTCAGTTGTGTTATTTATGTGCGTGTGTAGCTAAAAGACAGTGCTAGATTTCAGAAACAAGGTAGAGAGTATTAAACTGAAGATGAATTGGAAGTAGAAAGTAGAGCTGAGACTATGAAGTGAAACTTCTTACCTTTGTATTCTTAAAACAGATTACAATATACAGAGTGCTATAGAATTAAAGAAAATCAGTTTTATGTCTTTATTCAGGACTCAATGAGCAGAAAGAATCAGTTTTGTTCTATTGACACCTAATGTACTACAGGCTGTAATTTTGAAATTTAATAAAAATAAAGGGATATCCAATTTCATTTAGTACTCCACAATACCCTAAGGATTTTTGTTTGTGACATTTTCCATAAGCTGGATTTATTCTGGAAAAATAAAAGAATATGACATCAGACAAAACCAGTCGCTTATGTGTTCCTGAGCCAGGGTTTAACTGATCAGGATCTCTTAAATGAAGATAAATGCCGAATTTGATTTCTAATTGAGATTTCTTTGACAGTAGATATTCCTGAAACTTTAGAATATATCTTTTCCAACAATGTAAAAATTTTATTACCTGAATTTAATAAATAATTATAAGATTATTGTCACTATCCTAATATAATTATATTTAGAAATGTTTTAGTTATATCAGGCTTTTATAAATTAGTTTATAGTCAATAAGGTCAATTAGTACTTAAAGGAATTTTGTAAGAATCCTATGCCAAGATAAGAATCCGTCTGTAACTCAAATTATTGCATAACCTGTTTATTTAATATAGATTTTCATATATCATATTTTGTTAAAAACCGGTTACTCTACACCCTTATACAGTAAACATTTACTAAAGACGATCATTGCACATGATCTCACCACTAAACCTGCTAATACCAGTGAATTTGTGGATAATTTAGTCTACTCAAAATGTATGACTTTTAAAAATGTCTTTATGGCCATCGGTTTGGCTCAGTGGCTAGAGCATCGGCCTGCGGACTGAAGGGTCCCAGGTTCGATTCCGGTCAAGGGCATGTACCTTGGTTGTGGGCACATACCCAGTAGGGAGTGTGCAGGAGGCAGCTGATCAATGTTTCTCTCTCATCGATGTTTCTAACTCTCTATCCCTCTCCATTCCTCTCTGTAAAAAATCAAAATATATATATTTTTTAAAAATGTCTTTATGTAGCATCACCTATACTCTGGATTTCCATGTCATCTACATTTCCCAGTGTTTTAACAATTGAAGTCGCCTTTCTCCCATATACTTTTTTTAAAATTAAATATATCTTTTTTATTGAAAGTATTACAAATGTCCCCTTTTTTCTCCCCATTGACTCCCTTCCCCCCACTCCTGTCCCCTCCCCAGGCCTTTCTGTGTCAATGGGTTACACATGTATACATGTAAGTTTTTTGGTTGATCTCTGTCCTCCCCCCACTCCCCTTCCCTTGAGGATCCTCAGTCTGTTGCATGCTTCCTTGTCTCTGGATCTATTTTGTTTGTCAGTTTGTTTTATTCATTAGATTCCACATATAAGGGAGATCATATATTTTTAAATATTTAACTAGAGATAATGTGAAGGGCAGACATACTTTTAATATATGGATACTCAGGTTGGATATTTGGTGTACTTTGTATTCACATTTTGATAATAATATCTTTGGATTTGTTTATCTTTCAGAAAATAAATATCCCCCCTCCCCCAAAAACAAACAAAAAAAACCCACTCAAAATCAACAAAGTAATATACTTACACAATATAATACACTTGTTGATTCATGGATAATGCTTAAGTAGTATTAATTATACAGTTACCAAAACCTGCAAGGATCAAAAGATTTTAAGAAGGATTTCTCATGCTGCATGGATTATGTTGCTACATAATAGCTCAGTAGTACTTCTGCTGAATTGTAAAATAGCTTAGAGAGGAGTATGATGCCTATAGTTGGTGTAATGCATTGGTAATTAAGAGGTGGGAGGTTAGGCTTCATTAACTGCTGAGGGATTGTATCTTGGGTTTTATTATGCCCTAGAGAACATAAAAAGTGAGAAGGGTCAAACTGTTGGAATCAGATTTTGCTTGTGCATCTGCCAAAGCAAAGATCACAAACTAATATAGCAGTAGGCAAAGAATGGCTTGAATTGAAAGGGAACAAATATATTTGCAGCATCTAATGGATAAGGATAAATGTTTCTGATGAAAAAATAAATATACTTAAATACTGGGGTATATTTTAGTATTACAAGTTTGTAATAATTTTATTTCATA